ATTTAGATGATGTTCATAATCAAACTCTACCAGCAGGCGTTGAAGTTCATTCAATGGAAACAGATGAATCAATCAGTGGTGGAGTTGTGGATGAATTCGGTATTGTGAAGCCTAGACCTTTTTTTTTAAACACTCTTAGCCCGCAAAGCTTGATTTTGCTTCCAGCAGGACACACAAAGTCTTACATGTGTACAGCGACCAAATATACTTTCAAAGGCAGAAGCAAAATTCAGCAAGCCTCATGCCATGTGTACACAGAACATGAAACCCAAATGGGTTTCTCTATGTTGACAAAGACTCCGAATATCAGGTCTCTGAGCTGATACTGGAACAGGAAGCTTGGTCCCAGTTCTCGTGTCTGACTCGGGCTTGCTCGCCCCTGGCTGTCCAAACATCGCAGAAACTCATTGGACAGGGTGTGCGCATGCGGAAAGGCACGCACGTGTTTGCATCAAAGAACGTGGGAGCCGCAATCTGCATAACCTGGATTGTCGCAAGATGCTCAGGAGGCAGCCGGCATGTTATAGTTTCAAGCGCCACTTCTCGTATCGCTGGCCTGCCGACATCGTAGTTGAATCTGCCCTGGTCGTGTAACGCAGGCCGGGATCGTCATGGTACTGAAAAGAACCAACAACAGGAGCCTCTGGTGAACCTGCTGGCCGAGCAGGGACATCCCTGTACCCTTTCAACTTAGAGAAGCCGCTGGAGGGCAGAGCCATGGTTTCGCCTTCAGAAACCGCCTGGCATTCGCAAGAAAGAAACGTCAGGAACTCCAGGGCAGCTTCGGTCGTCACGTGCCAAAGAACCTCCTCGCTTGGATGACGAGCCTCCAGCATGCAACGTGCCGCAAGGAGAAACCGGTCGGTCCATGAAGTTTTATGCTCCGGGAAGGGACATCCCTTTAATGAGGCTGGAGGCTCAGCTTGTTGGATTCTTCGTGATCCCTGCATGCAAAGGCACAGTACGGCAGTGGACATCTCGGCCGCTCACGGCAGAAGGCAACCTTGACACGCTCTCGGCGAGTCACACAACGCACACGGCTTCGTGCACCGGTTGATGCTGTGGAGGCCAGGGTGCTTTTGGCAAGCTTCTACTGTAGGTAGTTTCATTGGCCTCGGACCGGGGTTGGGACCGTCGGCTTCCGGAGACTGCCCCAGGCAGACGACGGCTTTTTCAACACTGGCCTCCGTTTGCAGGAGGCAAGCCAACAGACCGTGCTGATGTGGCTGGCTTTTCAGCTGCTTTCACTTGTCCTGCAGTGGCAGTTCTGGCAAGAAGTGAGGACGAACTTGGATTTGTTTGGTGAGACTTTAGCCGTGCACTGCGCGCAAGGTGTCTCCCAGCATGGTGTTTGTCACGGTCCGATCTGGAACGTCTCAGCCTGGCATGAATTTGTTTTGCATGGCAAGCCTTCAAGGCTATGGCATGCGGAATTGCCCTCAGTGCACCTGCGGACACGTGGTCGATTGATTGACTCGATTCTTGCGATTGATGCAGAGATTGCCCAGCTGGAGCAGGAGACAGCCAACCGCTTGAAGCAGCTGCGTGAGAGGCGCGCCGAGCTGATGGTTCTGCAGGGCTTGATGCCCACGGGCCTGAACCACTCGGTTACCGGTCGCGCCTTCAACTCGACATACATCTTCCAGTTCGAAACACGCTCCTCGCCTCCGGTTTTCCTGCTATCACTGAACCCCATCGCACGGTCACATCGTGTGGGGGAGATGCCGCCAACTATCGTGCCATCGGACGACACGGATGGCAGTGATCTGTGGCCATGGTCGTTGCAAGTTCGACGCCTGGATGCTTGGCGACATCATATGGCCATATGGCATGCTGTGGGGCGGGCGTTCGAGCTTGCTCTCTTTCACTGCAGGAACCGACGCAAGCGGCGGCCGACTATCAGCGGTTTGGCTCCGGCGAGAAGGTGATCACCATCGAGGACCAGTCTGTAGAAGCGGTCTCCTCGGTGCGTCAGAAGGGCTACGTCCGCTGGGAGGCGCATGCGACCGCTACTTTTGCGCGAAGTTTCATGCAATGTCAACTTGGCAGGTGATGGTACAAAGCTCCGATTTGTCGGGGAAGCAGACTCGCTTCGTGGCTTTTGTCGAAGACTTTCAAGCGCCACATCTCGACGCGATTTATGCCAATTCCCAATGCTCGTTGACGAAAGCATGGAAGGCTTTCAACAAGCAGCACCAAGGGCATCATCACCATGCCCTCGTTTGGTGCAGGACGCTGCTGGGATATCTCCTTCCATGCGGCATGCTAACGGCGTTGGCAGCTTGCAAGCAAAGTTCGGCTCAATCCTTATGAGCAGCATGCAGATTCGACCCACCTGGCAGCCATACCAGCAACAGAATTGTGCAGGAAAGCGAAACATTTGCTGAACTGCAGGCAGTGTATTGGCGAGCACTGCGTGCTCAGCACGACCTGCCGGATCTGGATGTTGAGCTGACCAAGGCCTGGTCAGTGCCTGGTCCGTTTTCCAACTCCTCCGCTTCTCTAGCAGTCTGCATTCTGTCGCTCGCCGCGTTGATGCGCGCATGAGAGGTTTGCTTACGCCTCGAATGAAATCTGCTCCGCAAGGCTCCACCTGACGACGCCTCCGGCTGCGGTAGCTGCGGCTTTCAAGCCATAATCCTCGTCAAGCTGGTGGTTATGGATGTTCCGCAGCAGGTCCCACACATCCAAATCCTAGTCACAGGTAAGGCCGGTAAGGCCGATCCACATTACCTTCGGCGTGGCTTTATTTCTCAGAGACAGCGGCATGTGTGATGCTGACCCACGGTTCCGCCACACCCATGACTCACAGCCGCAGGTTTGCATCGTTCTGTATCTCCTCGGCTGGTATGAAACTGGGTTCTACAGACTTTGAGGTTGCCTGCGAGTTCAGATCTTAGGGAATTGATGGCTGTTCGCAGCTAGCTGTTAGCAGCCACAATCGTTCGCATCTGAGTAGGGAATTGATGGCTGTTCGCAGCTAGCTGTTAGCAGCCACAATCGTTCGCATCTGAGGAGCAGGAAGGGCTTCGTTGCCAGCTCTGCCTCTTCCATCCGCAGCATTGCGAGCCGGAGCATCCCTTCCGTTTGGCCAACTCCGCTGCGCTGCAGCAACGTACCGGTTCAAGGGCTTGGAAGGTGCAGGTGCACATGTTGGACCATGGTGCCTTCTCTTCGGCAGGCTGATGGTCGCGCGTTTCATTCGTTCAAGTGGTTTGGCTTGTGCAATCGTCCCTTTCGCTCAGGCTGCCTTCTTATGCACGCTGCTGTCTTCAGTCACTGGACAGACACTAGAGTCACTAGAGTAGTGCACCCCCCAGGATGGTGGGACTTGTGGAGACCCGTAGCTAGGTAAAGTACACACGCTTGTCGAATCTACTGACTAGGATTGCCTACAGTGCTGTCCGTCAGTGATTCCCGCACCGGCAACTCAAGCACCAGTGGGCGATTTCACATCCAACCAATGCACCCAGCCCACCATCTCCGCTCTCCTATTAAGCACCCATGGTTTCCGTACCCATCATCTCAATCTCCTTATTGGGGCTTGAGGTTTGGGGCTCTCCTCTTCTGTTGTTGGCCTTTGCATGTGCCGTCCACGTTCAGGGTCTAGCATGGTCCCAGGCATCAGGTCGTAATACTTTTGGCTGCCAACCTCGGTTCCCTGTGAGAGTTCAGTTTCGGGTTTACTCATTTTTTGTCCTGGCAAGGTCAACGACTTCCTTCGCTCTAGCCGCTCTAGCCATCCCTATGTTTATATCCAGCTCCCCTTCGCCCGCCTCCTCAAAAGGCTCCCCGTTTGTTCGTTCGTTCGTGTCCTGAAAGCCCATCAAGCTAGCCCTTGATCCCTTAAGCCCTGCGTGAATGCCCCGTTGCTTTCCGGCTATAGGGGCTGCCGGGTAAGCAATCTGCGTCAACGGTCTGGCTCACTACTCAATTCAACTGATCTGCATCTGAGGTGGCCAATCAGATAATCATCGGGCCCAGTCAGAAGCACAAGGCATCCGGCGAGCCCGGCGCAGAATGGATAGTGAGGCTTCTCGACAGCTGACTTGCAGAGTCTTCATCTTTCCCAGAGCAGAACCACCACGCATTTTGCATGCCACCTTCCGTGCCATTCTCAAACAGGAGACATGACGAGTCCAACAGTGTGTTTATTTTCGAAAAGCGCTTCAGGTGGTGTTCACAAAGCTCGCATAGGCTTGCCCTGGCGTTTTGCCCGAGGATTGGTCTGCTGTGTGTAACTTGGCTTGGAATGTCGTGGATGGCTCTCAAGAGATCCTTGGGGCCTTGGATCTTGGATCTAAGGATTTACGCAGAATGCCGGTAGTTGCGAGGGTCTCTTCAGCCTGCTTGAGGTTTCCATCCTGCCGTTTACCACCGGGGTGTACTGGGCCACCTCCGCGCTTGTCTGGACCCCTGTGCTCGCTCGGATACTTTTCTTTCTGCCGTGTGTCATAGGCGCGGCCGCGAGACTTGTGCATGCCGGAGTGCTGAAAGCATGGCTAGCTCTCTCGCATGCGTCCGAGTGATGCACAGGCTGGTTCTGCATCTTTGCACCTCGGATGTATAGGTGTCTGCCATGCTTGCCTTCCCAAGAGTTACAATCAGAGCAATAACTCCAAGGCGACCGTCCTGTCTTGCCTCGTGGCTTGCTGTGCTGAAGCGCCGCACGCCAAGTTGACAGAGAGCTTTTGATTTCAAGCTTGAAAGCTGTGGTGTCGTATTGAGGTGAGGGTGATGTGAGGACACGGTCTGCGAAAGAGGGACAAAGTGGCCCTCTTTCCTTCAGAGCATAGCTTCGTTGCCAGAAAATTCTCAGGACAGCTGCCAATCTTCTGCTGGAGACCACAGGGACTGCGAAAGCATGTTGTCCACAGCGCCTTTCTTCTCTCGCCTTGTGCCTGTGTGAAATGCAGGGTTCTCGAAACCGGATGAACCACAGTTTTTTGGCCCAATGCTGCGAAGCAGCAGAGCTGAAAATCTTGATCCGCCACTATTCGACAATCTCTGACTGGCTGTGGTGTCGTGGCGGAGTGGGCATGAGTCTCGCGCTCAGCGATCGTTCCATTCCTTGCCACAACCGTGTCGGAAGCGATCGATGCGGTGGGGTGTATCCATGGGCTACAGAGCGTGCAGGCGAGTAGAAGAAGGAGACATGAGATGGCAGCTGCCTATTGAGGGGTTCGGTGAGCCGCAATGTTGAAGGACATGGCCTGCAGGATCTGCATGTATTTGCTCCTCTCTGTTCTTGATCGAAGCACACGGAGAGCAACTCTTGGCCAACTGCCAGGATACTGCCCGAACATGTGAGCGCATGCTGCGCACTCCAAAACACAAAGGATCTGAGCGGTTTTTTTTGGCAATCTGGTGTAGAACGGGGAGTTGTCGGTGCCAGGATGACACGAGGCCGCTTGCACTAGAGGGCCAAATGTCTCAAAAGATTAAAACAGAGCACTGGATTTTACGGGGGACGCAGTCTCTTCGTGGCGTCCATCAATCAATGTGGAGTTGCTAAACCTGTAACAACACATTCAGCAGTTTCGGGAATCATCCGAGACTGAGGCAAAGGATTCACGCCAGACGAGAGTTTCCAGGGCGAGTCGGCTCTGGGGAATGTGAACGTGCAGGCGCCGTGGATAAGAGCATGCCTGGATTCGCTGTCAAGACATTGCAAGGCTGCTGGTTTTGGTGAGCTTATTCTATCATGAGGGGCTGATCTCGGTGGGGGCAAAGAAGTTGGACCAGTTGATCCCTCAAGAAACGGTTCTCATACAGTCCCGCTTTCGTAGTGCACAATTGCCTTCGGGAAGCTATTGCCGTGCGATAAGTGTGTGAAGTCGTAGGTGCGTTGCTGGGAGAAGCGTTTTTTGGGGGACAATGCATTCCTGAACTTTTGTCTGTGCCGGCATTGCAGAATTCTGATCCTCGCTTCCATGCTCCAGGACTGGCGCAAGCCTTTCAAATGGGTTCGGGCGAAAGAGCTGCACAAGACGCTCAGCTGCATGGGGAAGGCTGCGCCTACAGTACGTTCCTGTTCTTTCGTGTTGCTTTCGGGAGATGTAGCCGCACGTGCAGTAGCCGGAGCCTTTCAACTGAAGTTTCATCCTGTCAAGCCTAAGTTATTCTAGAGTCAAGTCTAGATTGACTTCTGTACAAAGCCTGAACACGCCTGGACGCACTCAAGTAAGGGATGCCAAGCTTTTCTCGGTCATTCAGGCAGGCAGTACATGCTGCCTTCATACTTCATACCCAGTGTCGCAGGCTCAATCGTGAAAGATTGAGAGAGGTTTCCGATGTGGAGTGCCTGCCAGGCAGACAACATTGTACAGGGGGAGTTGGGCGATTGCTGGCTTTTAGCGGCGATGGCTGCGCGATGCTCAGCACGTGCTGCAGTGCTATCTTTATGAGAACAAGTTTCGTGTAATCTGTTTAGGTTTTCGCAGACTTTCCGGGCCACATCATGAACCTGTTTGTGGCCTGGAAGCAGAGAGCCGTTGGGCAACGAGCTGTTCCATCGAGTTCAGATCGGGATTCGGTGCCGCCAGTTTGGAAGAGTTTGCGGAAAAAAATCGTTGGTAGGAAGGTATTCACCTGCAGTCTAGCTGACTCTACTCGGTACTACTCGGTAGCTGCTCAGGATGACGTCAATCTCAAAGAGAGTGGTCGCACCTCGGTTACTTCGAATCTACGAGTGGCCATGTCCTGCTTGCTGCCGAGTGAACGGACGGACATCTCGTGGAAGATGGGCCGAGGATACGTCATCAGGCTGTGGGACATCAAAGGCAAAGGCGAGTGGCAGGACAGAGTCGTATCAAGGAACCCCAACCTCTACGAGCAGCGAATCTCAGATGCGTGCGCACCAGCGAAACAAAGCCTATGTAATTCCGCGCAATTTGGACCTGTGCAAGTTGTTCAGAAGGGACAGTTTGAGAGAGAATTTACATCGCAAGCTTGTGCGAACGATGCTGCACCTTTGATTGCAGGTGCCTCGCCAGTCAGCCAGCAAGCACTGCCAATCTGTACAGGACGTGGAAGTCGATGACCTGATCCCTTGCGACAAGTACTGCAAGCCCTTGTTTGCTCAATTGACGGGGGAAAGCCCTGTACTGAGATTTATACTTTACTAGACAAAGTTGGGCTAAATCAGAACACCAAAACCATAGCCTCGTCCGATATGATCCGCTGAGGTGGCAGCATGTGGGTGCTCTCCTCAGGTTTGCTTATACACCAGTCTGCATTGCAACTTGCTCAGCCCTGGCGCAGCCATTCCTCCATCGGCCTTGCTCAGGCGCTGTTGCTTGAAAAAGCTTTCGCGAAGTGACACGGCAGCAACGGCAGATATAGCAGGTAACGGGCTTCATTCCCGAGAATGCGCGAGAGCGAAGAAGAAGAAGGATAGCAATACTAGTGATAATGCTGGAGGGCATGCCCAAATTGTTGAGCTTTCAGCATCTGGGAGTGGCTGTTTTTTCGCCTCAGACTTCGAAGGCAACCTTTGGCCGGAAAAGGTTGCGTCTCAACATAAGTTAATGCACAAGCATCGGCAGCGAAACAGTCGCGCAGAAAAGCAACATCAAACGCATGCACACAACTTTAGGAAAGGCCCATCCCGCGAGTCTGAAGCCCAACAGCCAGTTCTAAAATGCCGCGAGCTTTCCAGTCCCCTTCTCTGGTTTCCGGATCGCAAGGTTCGTCGGCACCTACGAGAAGTTGGTTGGGGGGAGCACGGGGTGGGCTTGGCAGGCGGGATGCTCGGTCCTTGCCCAGAAGTTGCGAAGGCGGTTCCGTTTCGTTTTCGTAAGGGACCCCGGGCCCCTGGGCAACCGGATCATGGAATCGAGCTGGTTAGGAGAAGTGTCTTTCCATGGTCAGGTGCTCACGGGGCAGCCCTGGATGGCACGGTGGTCGCGGGACCCGGGCCAGAAGTGGACGCGCTCCTGGACTGCCTTGGCAGCTGGTGTTAATACAGTTGCATTACAACCTGGGTTTGTGCTGCCAGCAAAGGCTGGGAGATGTGCGACATCCAGGAGCCGTACAAAGAGCTTGTCGGTTGGTTTTGGTCACAAGAGTTTCAGGCAAAGTGTGCCAAATCCGGAGTTCGACCTTACTCTGCTGGCTCCTGTGTACGCATGCCAGATCATACCAGTGGAGCTCTGTTGGTGCAGCTGTTGTCCAGTTGCAACGAGTAATGGGCTGCCAGCATTTTGCCTTGGCGCAGAAGTGTTTTGGGACTGCCGAAGAGAACCTCGCCGCTGCAGCCAAGTGGCGCAGCACCCTCAGGGAGCTTGCCAGGAGAGGGGAAGCTGTGCCTTTGTGGTGTGGGTTGGAGGTGTTTTTTCTCAAGTCTTCGTAAAGTTCCAAAGTCTAGTGTATGGGCAGGTTCCCAACATGTGCAGGCGCAGGCCGGTTGGGGTTGGACCCAGGTTCCGACGGCATGCGCGGTGGGCGCTGGAAGGGACCTGTCGAGACATCAGAAGATGATCAAATGTTCCAGGTGGCCAGTCTCCATGCCTGCGCTGCACACCATGTCACCATGCATGTATGTACGGCTGAGCCAAGTTCCCGTGCGATTGCTCTGTAGACGCAGGCGCTGGCTTCCTACACCCAGGCCTGCTTCGCCAGATGCCCGGATCCACCATTTTCACATGCCTTGCCGTGCAGTAAGCTTTGGCTAAACTTGCGGCCCGAATGTGCATCAAGCCTAAGGCGTTTTCAAAGTCGGAGTTTTTGAGGGCAGCGGAACATTGATTGCCGAGTCATTGATTGCCGAGTCTTTTTCGGGTGTTCCTCAGGCCATCAGCTGCTCCATTGGGCAAGGGGATCGCGCCGAGGCTGCGCACTTCACCGCGGGTAGGGCCTGTCATTTACTGGGTTCCGAAATGTTCCGAGCATGGCATCTGCGTGGCAAAGCCGTGAAGCCCTGATAAAGGGAAGGTGGTGGTTCCCGCTCTTTCTCTGCGCGTGTGGGATACTGGTCCCAAGCTCCTTCAGCTTCGTGGCCTCATCCTATTCTACAGGCATGAGGCTGATCGGGTCATAGAGATAGGGCACGGTTTTTGGTCAAAAGTCGAAGAAGTGCAACTTCCGAACTTCGTCTCTGTATCTGTGGCTCCCGGCAGGGTCAGCAAATTCTCACCAGTCATGTCGGAGGAGCGGCGTCCTGACGGCCTGCTCGCCAAGCATGCTTACTCTGTCCTCCAGGCCTGGATTGCCATAAGAGGATGAAGAGTCAAACATTCAGAGGAACTAGAAAGCATTCCAACTACTGTTCAGATTCGAAGTTTCAACTCTTATCAACTGGTTATGACCTGGAAAGGTGTCCAGGCCAGGAGTAGCACCAGCACCGAGTTGCATCCGCATCTCGTATGTGTCTTGCAGTTGCAAGTAAGCTTCAGGCTTAGGTTCACGTTGTCCCGCCGATCACAACAATGCGGGAGTCCCCAGCTGCAGACTTAGCGATCGGTCTCAGGTCCTTTGCGCTCATGGCCAGCGGCTCGTCCAGGCCTTGTGTTGCGCTCCAACCCGAAGTTATGTCCCTGTGCCGGGATCTCGCGTGAGTGGGACCCCCCCCCCACAATAGGTCAGAGTTCAGCCAAAGTATCATCAGTTTACGTGGAATTCGAGAGGCTTGTTAAGTCCTACGCCGTGGACTTTGGCATGTGGCAGGTCCAAGCAAGCTTTCCCAAAAGCAAACACAAGCAAACCATCTCTTCCCCAAGCAGTTCCCGAAGGCAGTGTGAACAGAAGCCTTTCAATTCCGGCGCTCCGTCTGCGGCTCAATCCGATGTATTTGTCAGGGAATGTTTGCGTTCTTCTTGCACTTACGCCGCTTACGCCTCAGCTTGACCGGGTTTGTGCTCTCCGCGCCATGGACTGTATGCCGGAGGAGGCCTCGAGCATCGAGGAGGGGATACCCGTAGTGTCTGCAGACCTTGTCACAGAGCCACCGGGCAATGCCGTCGGATCGGAAAACGCGGTCCCTCTCGCAGTGCTGCAGGTCGAAGTCTGCACGCTGGGTGGGCAGACGATAGCGCTGGAAGCTCCTGCAAGCATCACCTTCTGGGAACTCAAGCAGCAGATTTGGGCGGCGGGCGGCCCCGACGTGCTGCGACAAAAACTGCTGATGGAAACCGCAGAGGTAGGGGACCGGGTGAGCCTTGCAGAATGCGGCGGCACGGGCAAGATCAACCTGACACTCGTTTGCCTGCCCATGGAAGGCGATTTGGTCAATCCGATCCGGGCTGTAGTGAGGTGCCGCCCAGCTTGCAGCGAGGGGTTGGGGGCTGAACCATGCATCAGCATGGAGGGGGCCCGCTGCTCCATCCAGCCACCAGAGAGTGAGGGCATCGGCCTTAAATCCTTCGAGTTCACAGCTGTCTTGGATGGCACGGCCTCGCAGCAGCAACTGTACCATGCTGTTGGGGCCGAGATGGTTCAGCACGTTCTCGAAGGCTTCAGTGGGACCGTGATGGCCTATGGACAGACCGGCACAGGCAAGAGACATTCGCTCTTCGGACCTAAGCCAGAGCAGCCAGAGCCAGCCCCGTGCACGGAGGATGACAAAGCAGGTCTTGTGCCTCGTGCCGCAAAGAAGCTGATGCAGGCAGCCCGAAGCCAGGTCCGGGGAATGCGCTGGCAGATCGCTTGCTCCTTTGTGCAGATTCGCAACGAGCAAATCCTCGACTTGTTGTCACCGCAGCCGCTGCGCGAGTGCGGCATGCGGCTGATTCAAGGGAAGGTGCACATCAAAGGTTGCAACGAAGTGGAGGTGACGACCGAGGCTGAGTTCGGGCTTTTGTACGCTATGGCACTTTCTCGGAGCTATATCGAAGCTTCCAACAGAACAGACCTCATCTTCAGGTTCAGAGTCCAGACGGTAGACTCCGGTGGATGCGTGGTGACACGAATGTTAACTTTCGTGAAATGCAAAGGCTCAGACAGACAGAGCAAGAGCACGGCTGAAGGCTCGCCACTTCGGGAGGCGGTGCAAATCGGAATGTCATTGTCTGCGTTGGGCAATGTAATCAGCTCGCTCGCTGATGAGCGGTCCCGTGTCATTCCTTATAGGGACTCCAAGCTCACCAACCTGCTGAAGGATTCGCTGGGTGGGCCGGCCAAAACGGTGTTCCTCGCCCACGTTTCTCCTGAGTCAAGCTGCTGGCATGAGTCGCTAAGCACTTTGCGCTATGCGAACCGTGCAGCAACGATTAACAACAAGCCACTGGCCATGAACTGTGGAAAGCATGAAATCGCGTTGCTGCCGTTTCAAGAATGGCTGGCTTCTGTGGAGCAAGACCCCGGCCCTGAGATTTTGCCTGCACCGCAGCACTGAAGAGCAAAGAGGGACATCGTCGAACTTACGCGACCGAGAACATTGGGTTTACTCGGGCATCAGGGCTTCCTTGGTTTCTGTCATAGCCATTTCCACAGGGTCCAAGTGTTTTTCTTGTGACGAGAGGTCGCGATGGATTCTTTTTGCTCGAGAGTAGCATTTTGTCATCAACTTCAGCACCGGGCAAATCCTGAACTCCACAGCCGACGGCCAGAGAATTGCTGCTGTTGGGGCTCTCCTCACCTCATGTTCCTCTCCCAAGTTCAGGCAGGTCTCTGCAACAACTGCCACTGACCTGGGCCAACTTCTATGCTGCATCGCTTTATGAAGTTTGAGGGCAAAGCGGATGGCAGCAGGATTCGGGGTCTGCAGGTGCGCAACCCCTGGGGGAGCGGTGGCGAATGGAACCGGGCCTGGTCTGACAAAAGTGAGGAGTGGGAGAAGCATCCCCAGAGCCCTGGCAGCTCCTGGCAGTCACTCGTGAGCCATTGCCTTAATTGACCGGGCTAAGGATAGCAGAGGACTTGAAGGTAGTGGATGCAGATGTTGGTGGCTTACTTTCGTTTTGAGCTGGTTTTTGGAGCTTTTTCCAACCTTCGCTATCGGCTTAGGATGGGCGATTCTGGATGCCGTGGGCAGCTCGATTGCACAATTTCGGCTGCACGGCATTGTCTGGCAGTTTGGCATCGCGGAGCGGTTTAGCATTTGCGTGATTCGTCAGCAGTTCCTCGTGTTCAAGGCTCCTCGTAGCATAGTTTACATGGTGCTTGCGAGGATGCTTTTGCTGAAATCTTCGGCGGGCACATCATGGCGACTCATCGCACTCAGATGGCATCGCATGGTGAATGAGAGTAAGGTCTTCTTTATTGTCTGGTGCAGCCTCGGCAGGTTTGCCCTGTGACGTTGCCGTGTCCAATGAACTCCCAAGTCGTCACTGACAAAGACAGCTTCACCAGGAGGAGACAACTTGCTGCCACTTAAGTCGTGTGCCGACAGCCCGCGATCACGATCAGGATGCGATGCCCGCAGTGCCGACAGATCCGCTCTTAGCCGCTGGAGTGCGGTGGTGCAGCGCTGTTTCAGGATGTTTCAGGCTTCAGCCGTGGCTTAAACATGTCCTTGTCAGGCCCTACACCCGGAGCTGGGTGCTCCTGGCGAGCGGGGAGTCCACGGCAGGTGATGGCGCCTGGAAGCGCCTGGCAGATGGCAAAAGCCTGTGTGCCATGCTCGAGTCGCAGTTCGTTTTTTTTTTTTTGTGCGAAGCAGGGCTAGCGAAGCAGGGCTAGGCGGGGATGAGGAGAGGTGGCAATTGCATCCAATTGCATCTTGCGGCTCTCGGTTTTTGCTTGCAGGTTTCCTTTGCCTCCGGGCGACCTGCCGAGCCAGCGAGCGACTTCTCAAGGGCCCCGCGGCTAGTGACTAGTGCTGGGTTGCTGATTCGGGTGATGAGAAGCCCCAGAGGTAACAAGTCCAGGTCCACGAAGCGCCGGATGGGATTCCAGCCGGTGCGCCAGCTTGAGGCTTGAAGATTGCGGGACTTCATGAACAGCCGAAGCTCACTCTGGCCCCTCCAAAAGGCTGGGATCGGGAACGTGGATTCCCATTTTCGTTCGCCTCCTCATCTGGCTTGGGCTTGTTTCATAACTTGCGTCATGACTCCGAGCGGCTTAAATGTGTCGCTGACCGGTCCGGTTGTAGGAAAGGAGATGGCATGACACGTGAGAGCTGTGGGCAGCCTGTGGCAGGTCACGGTTGGGTCGCTTGAAGGTAGAAGCAGATTGCCAGAACCGCCTTGAGGTCGAAGATGCATGCTGTAAGAAGTCTCACGAAGACGATGCTTGGACCCGAATTCCAAATGTTGAGCAGGTTGGTAAGGCGGCCATGGGCTGCCAAGCTTGTTGTCTTCTGTAGCTTACAACCTGGGGGTTGCAACGCTCTCAGATAAGAGATCGCGGTCGGCAGGCCCACGCAGAATGAAAGCTGCTTGGCTACATGTGCTTGCATCACGCAAGCGTAAACAAGGTAATTCTTCGGGTTTCTGAGGTATTGCTTTGATCTCTCTGCCTGGGCTGGTCAACTCCTCTAGGTTTTGTTTTGATGCATTGCTACTTGTAGAATGTCTTTACCAGGCTTTACCAATTCCTGTTGAGCTCGGAATCAAACGTATCAGTTCGATTTTTGGCTTCTTGGCTTGCGACACCATCTTATCCGACGAGTTTTAGGTTTTGGCAGAAGCTCGTCTAGTCGTTATGCATGCTAAAACAGCTTTTCTTTCGCACTACACTCCGCGGAGTGTTCTGGCAGTGTTTTTTGTCATCTGGAGTTCAAGTGGCTCTGCCCTAGTGTGAGTGAGAGACTCTGGCAACGGATTATTCGCGATTTTCTGATGTCTTCTTACTCACCGCTGCTGGATGGATGCTGCAATCTGCGACTTGCATGGAGCAGCTCATGCTCGCGGGCTACATTAAGCTTTCATCTGCTCAGGTGATGCGGATTGTGCAGAGTGTCGAAACTCCGGCGACATTTCGACAAGAACGCCAATGAATCCCATGAACGTTTGACTTACGAACGGAGGACATAATTACAGCTGCCACCAACGAACCTCTCGAATCATGGCCCTTGTCGCTGGTGCACCTGCAACAGGTTTTTGAAATTCGATGCGGGTGTACGGTCCACACAAGTCCTAGGAATGCGAGCATGGGGCGGCATGCTATCGCCTGCACCTGAGAATGGGCGAATTATGTGTTGGTTGTTGTTCGGAGTTGACAGAAATGGTTCTCGCTCGGTATGACTGCTCCGAACACCAGAGTGCAGGCAGACTTGGCCTGGTGACAGGCCTCTATTTTTCCATGATTCTGAGGTCGCAATCCGCAGCACTTCCATGAGCGCTTCCACCCCAGCCTGTGCTTCAGCAGCACTTGCACTCCTTGCGTCCAGCAAGCTGGTCGAAGATCGAGACACGTTTGGGCTGGACTGGGCTTCTACTGAACTGTGCGACAGCCTGTGCACTGCAGATGTTCACGAAACCATGACAATGCATGTGCCTTGCCCAGAGGCTTCCGCCCGCCCCTGCCTGTGCAAGTGGTTGCGGCCGTTCAGCAGCATCGGGCTACAAGACCCCACGCGAGCAATTACAAAGACATGCAGCAGCTCAAAACGAGACGAATTTCTGGTTTGTCCAAGCAGGACCTGCTGTCCAAAATGCACAAGTTCTCCTCCAGATCTCAAGGTGCACATTCCATCCAGGCTGGAACAGCTTAATTTACTTATGGCTGACGTAGTTCGCTTTAGGAAGCCAAGTTGCTGGGTCTGACAGGCACAAGGGCTTGGCAGGTCTGTACAAGGCCGTCGAGAGGCGCCGTCTTGACCGGGCCTCTTGGGATTGGGCCATGAGTCTTATCCTGTGTACGTTCCTGCTAATTGAGCTGAGTTGGAACATTTGCTTGTAAATTGCCACACTCCTGTTGTCCGTGGTCTATGCCTGAGTCTATGCTGCCGTTTTTGCGGCCAACTTGCCTGTCGGAGGCCGAAAGGCAGAGAGAAAGGGCCGCCGGTGTGGCGCCAAACTGATGGGTCTTTCTCTCAGCCGGTAAAGTCTGGTACTATGCTCGGAGTTGCTTGGCATGTTTTCCCACCGCAGGAGGGGTTGGCTCTGGAAGGCTGGATGGCTGTCGCCGCAAGTCGGTGCTCACATGTGTTCGAGTATGTGCAGTTTCCATATCAACCCACTGGCAGGGGCACGTCTGGATGATGGGTGATCAGGAGGAAAAAGTTGGTGGAGCGTCTGGCCTCATCGCCGAGGACTGCACGACTCTCTGACTTGGGAAGCTTCGGCCGGAGACCTCGGCAACGCGTGTCGTCAGAAAAGCTTGAAGGATGTCGGCGATGGCATGTCCGCTCGATCGCCTCATCTGGCAAGGGGCTGGCAGGTGCACACGTATGGTACATGTGCGATAATCCGAGACGGCGCGAGGACGGTCTTAAGATGGATCGTAAGGTCGCAGGCGAAGGCGGCTGGGCAGCAGCTCCGGATCTCAAGGTGCCTACGTGCTCTGACACAGACATGCAAAGCTGTCTATGGAGATAGTTCAGCAAATGCTGCATGCGGTAGTGGTCGGCAAGTTGAGTGGACGCCGAGAGGGTGAAGTGCCTGATACGGAGGTGGAAGTAGACGCAAAGCACGTCTCCAGCGAACATGCGCGATGCTTAACCAGATGTCGAAGTGTCTGCTATCCACGAAATTGGACCAACAGACTCTTCTAAAGGTTACTGTGTTCGGTTTTGCTTGCCAGTGTTGATTACGGTAAGGATGCTCCATGCAATGAGCGCGATGCTCGGGAACAGGTGTGGAGCTAGGGAAGCTTGGGCCTCCGCATTGCAGGGTGTTGCTGTGCCCATCGGCAGATTGACAGGCACTGCGGGAGCAGGCGGACAAGGTGCTTGAAAAATGGGCACGTCAGGTGCTTAACGCTTGTAGAGGATCTGAAATGAGGCTCATTGACAGCCCTTAGCAGACATGCCAAGCCGCGACGAGGATGATTCCATTCTGCACTTCCGAATTCTGAGCCGTGGCTTGGGGCTGTGGCCGACGTCCTTCCATAAGATGCGAGCTGAGATCCGGGATGCAACAATTCAAGGGTCGCCGCCAAGCACTCGCTGCTGTAGTCGGGCCAGTTGTCGCGGAGCCTTTGTCAGACAGGTCTTCTAAGAGCCCTTAGTTCAGATGTGTTTCCTGGTTCGCTCGCCTTCTTCGGCCAGTCACAGAACGACCAAGGCAGGCCCAAACCCTAAGCCCAGTTTCGAGAAGACTAACTGACTAGCTTCTGCATGGCGCCTGGGCCTGCCCTGCGCGACAGGAGTTTTAAAGCTCTTGCCGTATTTGTTGAAAATGCAAAGCCCGGCCGCCAGCTTATATGTCGGAACATGTCGGAACCGAAGCTATTGCTGTTGTTGCGCTGGAGTATGCCAGGGCATACTTCGCTCACGCGCGCATCTGCCTCCCAGCTCGAGATTGCGTATAATCGCTGTGAAGCAGCTCTGAAGCAAGCTCGCGCCATGCCGACGCCTGTGACTCTTCATATCTACCATGTCTCCACCAATTCAACGGTGGGCACTGTGAATGAGTACCTGGAGGCCATTGGCACAGGGGCCTTCCACGCGGGAGTGGAGGTCAATGGCGTGGAGTGGAGCTATGGCTATGCGCCTGACCGAACGGGTGTGTTTTCCAATCCGCCGAAGGGATGCAAGGCTCACGTTTACAAGGATTCCTTGGACATGGGCGAAACATCCAAGACCGAAGCGGAGATTGATGAGATCCTCGAGCAGCTAAAGGAACCAAGGGATCATCAAAAAATGTTCAAAATAAGGTGGCAAATGTCTCAGCCTAGCAGGTAGCAGTTGCAATATGTGCCATGATCTCGGGCTGTGTTTTGGAGCCCCAGATACAAGCCCGGCTCTCCGATGCTGCATTGCGCTTTTCGATGTTTGTGCGAGGCATGCTTTTTGCAATGATTTCGTTTCACCAAAACTGCCCGGGCTGAGCCTCCATGTCATACACAAGAAGAAGATCTCGTGATGGTCAGGGAGGGGGGAGCCCGTAGTGAGAACCATGGACCTGAAACACTTCTTGCAGGGCCTATCCATGAAGCTAACCACCCTGCAGAAATAGCAGCATCAACAAAAACCCGCTGATGTTGTACATGGTGGGAGGCCAAAATGCAAACTGGTCTAGAGTTCCTGCTGCTGTAGGCGGCCGATAAGCAGTGTCCGTCATGAGTCTAGTGATTTCTGTTTAGAGCTGCCCCTGCTCAGTGGCTGGGGCTCTGCAATCGGCACGTGCAAAATCGCATTGCGTTTTTCCAACTCCCGTTTGAAATGGCCAGTGCCAGTTGTTGCCCCTTTCGAGGAAGATTGGCCCGGCTTCGAGTACGATCTGCTGCGACGCAATTGCTGCCTCTTCAGCAAGGAATTCGTTGAGAAGCTTGGCACTGGCCCTGTGCCCGGTTGGGTCGCTTGGTCCTCCAACTCTCGATGTACTTGTATTTTCGAAGAAGTGGCATGTGGAACTCCTTTCCTTGCGAGTCTCTGGCAGAGGTTACGAACCTGGCTGCTGCGGGTGCGACACTCCACGATGGCATCCTCAAAGGCAGGCGTGCTAAGAATGGCTTTGTGCCAAGTTTGTGTTGTGCAGCTTTGTGGGGTGGGCCCAATTGCGGAATACGCAGAGTTGAGGTGGCGATGTAGTGCTGCAATATGGGTGGTTTTTGAAGTCCGACTCTGTGCGAGGCAAGGAGATCGCCGACAAAGCCGCTGTCATGGCCAGAGCTAAGGCACCCGAAAGAATAAGATGGGAGGGCTCCGGGTTCCCCAAGACAAACCCTACCTATCCGCTCGTCCCAAACCCTACAGTATGTCTCAACAAAAGCCTTCAAGAACCCCTGTTACCTGTACAAGTCGTCCTGCCTATGTCAGCACCAGCCGTGTCAAACCGAGGAGCAGATACCCTCTCTTCGGAAGCTACCATGTGTTTTGCCTCGGGTTTAGAGTATGGCTGAGCGTTTAGATGTTCGGGTATCATCAGAAGAAGGCTGTAGGGTTTAAAGGGGCTTGGAGCTGAGGCTTGAGGTTGTTTTGTTTAATTTGCTGGGACATGTGTATGCGGGCTCCAAGGATCTCCAGGCAACGTTTGTCTAGGAGAGGCCTTGTCCGCCGTGTCCGGCTGTCTAGGCTGGAGAGATCGATGCGAAGTACAACATCAGCGGGAAGGTCTCGGCCGGTGCAAAGGACTCGGTGGCACAGTGTGCTTGTAGGCTCTGTTCTGCTTTTCCACGACAGGCATCATGTGGTTTCGGGCTGGGCTATCACCATAAAGACCTCCAGTGTCGAAACACCGTCGACAGACTTTGACCGGCTGGGAAGGAAGTGATGCTGGCGGCCGGACGCTTTGACGAGGAGTACAAAGTTCGAGAGAAGGCTTTTGCAGCTGCAGCTGCTCGTCTGCAGCTGGTCCAGGCCGATGAGCATCAGTGAAGAGGGTCATCTGTGGCCTGTGAATGCACTCATGCAGCTAGCAGGGTTATTCCTTCAGACTTCGGCGGAAGGGCTGGAGAGGCTTTGTAAATAGATTTACAGCAAACGGGCCGGAAGCAAGGAGATCGTCCTGTGCCTAGGTTGCGGTGAAGGCCAAAGCCGGAGAGCTCCACCAGGCGGCACAGCACAATTCAGATCCGGTGCGGGAGCAGTACAAGCATCGGATGTGCTGGGGTACGACAAGACATTAAATCCCTGACACTCAGTCTCGCTTGTGGCGTGAGTTCGTGTGAGGCAGCGAAGGACAAGGCAGCCGAGATACACAAGGCCTATGGGCTTCGTAAGAAGCAATAGCTGCAAGGTGCATGAGGGATTTGAGCATATCAAGATCCCTCACGGACAGTTGCCAGGATTTTGCAAGGAACAGGTGAACATGTTTGAGGCTACTTTGTAGCCAAGACAGACGTGACGTGAGGACGCGGACGCAGACGGCGATGGCGTGGTCAGTGCAGAGGAGATGTCGCCTGGCTGGTGTGGAAATCTGTCGTAGCCATCCCGTAGGTTGAGCATGCCATTCGTTTTGGTTGGTGTTGGCTGCAGTAGTGGTAGTGGTCTAAGACGCTCAGCTCTGTCTCGATTTGTCCCATCATGATTCTACTCCATTTGCCGATGCTCGGCTTGGCATGAAGGTCTCAGACCGGTGACTGCAGGACATGTCGCACACTTCATGCGATGTCCATGGTGCGGGGTCGAGCCTTCATCAATACGCATTGTGCTTCTTGCGGATTCCAGCCGTACATGTCCTCCAGCTCTTGCGACGCTTGAGTGTCATCCCGAGCCACAGCCGATGCCAAGAGCTTGTACTAACGCAGTGAATTCTGCTTGTGTTGTGCATTCTTTTAGGCTCCCGGGCGCAACAAGCGTGAGATCATGAACGCCCTAGCTGGCAGGCTTGAGGCCCAAGGGCATCAATTCAGATACATGAACAGAAACCGCGTTGCTGCCCCGTAGAAGGCCTTGTTTGCATAAATTCCTTGTTGATTCCATCACCCATTCCCTTAGATGACGCGAATCAGAAAAGCTTGCGGAGCAGGGCTCGAGTTAAGTCTGCTTTAGCAGAGAGGCAGACGTTATATGGTTATACGGCCGAACAGCCCGATGCACCACCTGATCTGCCTGCTGCTCTGTGAGCTTCACGAATACGCATCTGTATTTAGCAGTGAATGGACTCTGCCGCCCGAGCTTTGGCGGCGCAAGCTTGATCCGGTCTTCGAAGCATTCCTTTGCACACAGTCTTGAAAGAATGGATGGAGGAAGGAAAGGAAGACTAATGTATACGGAAATATGAACGCAATATTAGACACCCACCACTGTCGCTATTGTCAACTGCTGTCGGACGGACCATGACGGAGGCAAGGCTTGCGATGGCTCTATGATTCTATGAGTTCTATGCCAGAGCTGGGTTGGCTCCAATGTGTCAGTATGAGGGCTGTAGCCGATGCAAGGAAGGCCTACTTGAAAGAACAGCTGCGGGCGTCCCACGAAAAGGCCATGAAGGCAGCGAGTTCCTTTGCTTTCAGCTGAGTTAGATGAAGGAGATCGTGGTAGTTGCCAACTGCAGCAAGCTTGGTTCAAGCCTTTGATATCACACTTGCCGGTGTGTCGACGAGAACATGATATCGCAGCAACGCGTTCAGGCAGCAAAGGACCTGCACTCCAGCGTGGACAAGGATGGAGATGGCAAGATCACCTTCGAAGAAGCGTCGCTTGTCGCATGAATCTTCACGTTGCATGTTTCATGTATCACCAATTGATAGAATGGGCTTCCTTTGAGTGTCCCTTACATTGGAAAGTGTGGCCCGCTGTGGCACCTTCCAACATGCACGCGATGATACCTGGTGCGTTTTGACGAAGAGTTGCTTAGGGTCGAATTTTAAACTTTTCTGATATACCTGGTGGGACTGGTAGTAGAGCTGACACGTATGGGGCATGGTGTAAGTTCAGGAGAACCGCTTCATCCAATGACTGACACGGGAGATTCATCCTCTGTACTTCGTATGGCCAGCTGGGGCAAGCAATCAGGATCAAACTTAAACCTTGAATTGAAAAGCAGCACGTTGTGTGGCAGCCAAGGAAAAGCTTTGCAACAGAGAAGGCTGGACACTGCGGCTGCGAGGCGTGCACAGTGCAGTGAGACACCTGAGGTCTCGAGGTTTCTGGCTAGGATGTTTGTAGTGTTCCTTGCGAAGACAGATGGAGCAACGTGGCCATCCATGGTAGAAGCCGCGACAACACTCTTGCGGGACGGATCGCCGAGCCAGCAAGGGGCGGTAAGCTCCGGAGGCTGGTCTAGAATATTCCAAAGTGTAGGAAAAACACTCTTGCTTTTGCGAATCCGTTCCGAAGGTAACTGGGGCCAAATGTCCCATGTTCAAGTTGTTTGAAATTTAACTTTCATTTTCCCCGTAGTCATGCGAAACTTGCCTGGGCGTTTAGATGTTTCCTCACAGTGCAATCCCGAGATCACTCGGGTAATGGCTTGCCAGATCATAGCCGAATTTCTTGGATTACTTTGTCCTGATTGAGTTTTCTGTAACAGGAAACATATGCCAGTGGCCGCACTACTTCATGTCTACGTACTGGAACATCAGATGGGCTGCATTTGTAAAAGTTGTGACGGAATGTCACGAATTGTGCATATTGGTTCCTGCAGAGAACGGTGGTGTTTCCGTGCTTGTGAGCTCGATTTCCGCTGACCGTGAGCCGCCTGGAGATCAAGCTTAGTTAGTGGCTTGGTGCTGTCCTCCTCCCCTCTCGTTCCTTCACCTCGGAATTCCCTGCGAAGCGCCTCTGTGATGTTCGGCCGCCTGTCACGAGTTTCAATGTGAGGTTCATTGAAAGCTTCGGAGGCTCAAAGCCAAGGAAGCTCAGCCAAGTGATGTCCAACTCACAGGATTGGACATGTTTGCCAATGTTCGCCAAGGTTGAGATTCCAGTCCTCGTGCGTTTTCTGCTTTGCAAGCTGGTCAGTGCCAAGCCAAGCCGCCCCAACTTCAGGCTACCCTGCAGGCGCCGAAGCAGCCGACGACTGGCAACAGGTGGGATCTTTACCTCTGTTAGTGGCTGCTTGCTATGCATATTGTGTTTTTTGTTCGACTCGCCAGGTGAGCAGTAGCCGGAAAAACCGAAGGAGGCCTAACGAAGACTTTGGTCCGTCGGAATCCTTCTTCAGCAGCTCATTCAACGACAGCCTTGGCCACTCATCTGAGATCAGAAGGCTTTGAGATGTGTCCAGGCACTGACCGTACTTGTTGAGTCTTCTCGCCTGACGGGCCAAAGCGGAGTTAGTCCTGACATGTATTTCGTGCAACCAGAAGAGCAACCATGCCACTCCACGTAGCCTCTTGAATGCGAAATTATTCGCGTGATCCCAGGACGTGCTCACATGGAACAGCCAGAGCCATTCCTGTGCACGAATCCATGGAGTGGCTTCAATGCATCGGCAGCCCGTGCCACAGACCTGCATAGGCGTCAGGCTGATGCATTTCGACACAGCATGCTGTGATTTCTTGAGGCTGGAATGCGTTTCTAGTGACTGGTGTGGCGGAGGAAAACGCAGCTTTTTATCTTCTGCATTCCTCTACAAGCAATGTCATATGAACGCATGTCTGCGCGCACGAGGCCCCTTCGTTTCGTGCACAGCCGCGCAGCATGCGTGCCAAGCCACTGTGTGTGTTACCCGCAAACAGGAAAGGTTTCCAATGACTGCATAAAGAGCCCAGCCTGGAGCTGAGACCTGTACGCTGGTGAGGCGCCCTTTCAGCAAAACCAGCAGTTCGCGGCGGCGAGGCTTTAACAGCTCCGACGCTTCGGGGGCCGTGCATCCTGGGTTATTTTGGCGGGTTTTCGCAAGAACTGGTATGTCGGTGTTGTTGGGTGCTTCGAAACCGGTTAAGTTTCATAGCTCAGCTCTGAGGGAACGAGCAGGTCAAGCCACAGTGGGGTCTCCAAGCTTGAAAGATCCGTGCTGTATGCAGGCAGCACCCAGAAGCGCCACAGCGGCCTGCGAGGCGGTGTGGAGGGCTTCTTTTAAAGCCGAAGCGAAAAAGAGCAAAGCGAATCTGGCTTCGGAACATTTCGGTGTGTATGTGTTCTTTCCAAGCAAGTGCTGTCATACTGCGTCAACAGAAAATCGTGAGAGGCAAGACGCCTCCAGGGCGAGCGCTGGCACAGCTGGGCGCCAAGCGGGGGGATGCTTTGCACCTCGAGAGGCAGTCAGGCAGACAGCTGACTGTGTAGACGCTGAACACATCCTACAGCGTTTACGTGTGCTCCGTATCAGCTGGATGGGGAGATGTGCTGTGCGACGTTTTATGGACAGATGCCTCCCAGCAATCGACTCCACTTTGAAAGGCCAATCCCCGACAGCGATGTCGGGAAGGTCAGGATCATGGGGAACGCCCTCCCCACACTTCGTACACAGGCCACTTCAAATTTGCGGGGCGGCACTGCCAGGAAGGCATTTTGATCTTCTTGGAGGATTGGAGTCTTTCCAAAGTCTTTGCACAGACCCTGTCTTTGCATGTGGGCACCTTCGCCATTGAAGACGGCAGCCTTCACACACAGCATTCAACTCGAAACTGACCCGAAACTGATGCCTACACAGGACAGGATGCTCAGAGGCAAGCTCCGAAGAGTTGCCCAAGGCCCCCACATTGCGCAAGGTCTGTATGCTAACGCAGAAGTCCTCACCGGTTTGGAAGTTTGGATTCAGGCGTCCGCCCCGCCGGCCGGAGCCAAGCTCAGCATTAGCTTGCGCAAAGCTCGGTGTAAAGCGGCACAGCACGAGAACCAAGAGCCCAGGTCGCAGAGGACCGCTGCGAAGGTCCTGTGGACGACCGGAAAGTGCGCGCCAGGCCCTCAACGAAGGACTTGTAGATATGAAGGGAATCAGAAAAAGGCCTGGGAAGTAAGGTGTCAAACGGCCTGTCGTTGTCGTTGTCGTAGCCGTGGTCGTTGTCATCATCGTCGTCGTCGTCGTTGTAGTACTAGTAGCAGAAGTGGAAGAAGTAGTAGTAGCAGTGGTGGTGGTGGTGGTGGTGGTGGTGGTGGTAGTAGTAGTAGTAGTAGTGGTAGTAGTGGTAGTAGTGGTAGTAGGAGTAGAAGTAGAAGTAGAAGTAGAAGTAGAAGTAGAAGTAGAAGTAGAAGTAGTAGAAGTAACAGCAGCAGCAGCAGCAGCAGCAGCAGGAGTAGTAGTAGTAGTAGTAGTCGTCGTCGTCGTCGTAGTGGCAGTGGTAGTGGCAGTGGTAGTGGTAGTGGTAGTGGTAGCGGTAGTAGTAGTGGTGGTGGTGGTAGTAGTAGTAGTAGTAGAAGTAGTAGAAGCACGAAGTAGTAAGTAGTAAGTAGTACGTAGTAAGTAGTAAGTAGTAAGTAGCAAGTAATAAGTAGTAAGTAATGAGTAGTAAGTAGTAAGCAGTAAGTAGTATGTAGTAAGTAGCAAGTAGTAGGTAGTAAGTGGTAAGTAGTAAGTAGTACGTGGTACGTGGTACGTAGTAAGTAGTAAGTAGTAAGTAGTAAGTAGTAAGTAGTAAGTAGTAAGTAGTAAGTAGTAAGTAAGTAGTAAGTCGTAAGCAGTAGAAGTAGAAGTAGAAGTAGTAGTAGTAGTAGTAGTAGTAGCAGCAGTAGCAGCAGTAGCAGTAGCCGTAGCAGTAGCCGTAGCAGTAGCAGGAGCAGTAGCAGTAGGAGCAGTAGGAGTAGCAGTAGCAGTAGCAGTAGCAGTAGCAGTAGGAGTAGCAGTAGGAGTAGCAGTAGTAGTAGTAGTAGTAGTAGTAGTAGCAGTCGTAGCCGTAGCCGTAGCCGTAGCAGTAGCAGTAGCAGTAGCAGTAGCAGTAGCAGTAGCAGTAGT